AGAGCTATAGCTCGACTATACAGGGTGGGCCAAAATTATAATTTCACAGACATCACATCCCCGAAAACGAATAGAAAGCTAATGCAGCAAATCAACCTCAGAAGTGTTCATCTCTAATTTCTTATCGAAATAGTTTATTGAGAGTGATATCTCAAAGCTTTCTACTTTCACCCAACCCCAGAGACGACGAGAGATGGCATTGACGGTGGCACAAAGCTAAGGTCGGCGAGTTGATCGCGACTTTTTGCGAGGCATTTATAAAATTATTTCAAGTCTTGATTAGGCTAACGGATGCTTTTATTTTCGAAGTTGATCCGTTCAGATAAATCGCTCAGATCACGGGATTCAGGTCAGGGCTCCGGAGTGGTCACTAATCAAAAATTATGAAGTCAGGGAGCCTCTTTTACAAAATTTCTAGACAATTTCTGATATGTGGCCAGGAGCTTCATCTTGACAATATGTCCGGTTTGAAATGTCCTAGTGTCCTTTTGCGTAAGACGAGATTCAAATCAACTTTCGCTCCTTTATTTACAAAAATAATGTGGTTTTGACTCGGCGGTGATGCTCGCAAAGGCCATCGCAGAAAGTCAGTGAGCCTAGCACTGCATCACTCCCATTTCTTTCAGCATCATACGGATCTTGTCGCCTGCTTGAGCACCTTTTTAACCGTGGATATCTTTTTGTCGGTGAATAGGAATTCAGTACGACAGTTGTTTCGAATGCTGCGGGGCAACTCTTGTAAGCCAACCTTTCTCTTCTGTTTAGCTTGCTCACTGGGATCTCACTTTTTGATCGTGTAAAGGCCCTGTTGGCAGATGATGCTCCACGACCTTGCGCAGAAAACTCCATGGCATATCCATTCATTTAGCCGTTTTGGGCTCAGAATTAGCTTTGCTGCTACGCAGACCTTCGCCCTGCTTCCTTAACTCCCCCTAAATATAACAGCAGTCTCGTTTGATTTACAGTTCCTATCTGCAATTATTCCCAACACTCGAAAGCGTCTTATGATTGAGTGTACCACCTGCCTTGTTACTCTGAATCGTATGCAGATGCATCGTGCCAAAAGAGCTCGTAAATGCAAAGCGACGATCGATTCACGTGGTAGTGACGCTTACAGTATCTTCGAAATCTACCAACAGTTCAGTATCATTAGATAGGTAATAATGTGAACTACCTTGCAAAATGGAAGAAAGCGAACGAATTGTTATAAACTCAGAAGGAATTTGGTATGAGCGTCAGCGCGCGCTGTCATCACAATTTTGGCCTACCCCGCATAATATACAAGGAAGTCTCATTTAGCCAGACTAGTCTAGCATGTACTCTACATGACTTGATTCTGATTGCGAGCTATAGCAGGATTTTCGACTTTAAGCTGGTCGTGGTAAAATCAGCTCGATGCAAAACGATGACGTATTGCTAATCTTGTGAACATTCTCTCTTCTGCGAGAGCCAAACGAGTAACGTTAGGTGTTATTCTCGCTGCATTCCTTACGTATTTCTAGACTGAGGTTGTGATTATATGATCTACTTTAGCTTTCAGAAACCGAATTTTTTGCGCACGAGTATGAGCCCAAGTCTACCGTATGGTGCATAACGAAGAATGAAGTAATGGAGGAATAAGAGACCTCAACGTAGCTCCAGTTGCTCAACGCACGCTCTCATCCAAAGAATGTAATGTGAGTATCAGAAACACAACTTATGTCGTATAGAATGCCGACATTCCCGCGATTGATCAGTTGAATGCAATACCCTGGCAGCTACACCTCCCCCAAGAACAGTCGTTTCTTCAAAGGCAGCAATGTTCACGATTATTTTTGGTAATCCAGATTATGATGAACAATGGAAGACAAGATCGAAACTAGTGCGACTGAGGTGAAGAAACTGCGTGAATCGGTGTTTCCAAAGCTGAAAAAGGCTTCGAAAAACCGTCAAAAAGGGCGCTGGACGAGAATGAGACCAGAAAAATGGAGAAGAGTGGGGCGTTTGGACGAGTTACACAATGTGTTCACTGCGTGCGTGTGGGTCCTGGTCCGAATAACAGACTACGGTAAGCAAAAATTCATTCACTCATAAGCATAAGTAAACAAAAGAAACCCTAGTAACGGCAAAAGTAGCTCACCTTTTTCAGCCTCTAGGAGTAGGAAATTGAATAAGGGATTGCGGCAGCAAAAAGAAAAACAGAAGGAAAAAGAGTGGGAGAGAAACTCCGCCTCGTCACTTGGCGATCAGCAGATTGTGTGTGTTTCCTAGAACTAATAGTTGCAATCTGTACTGTCTCGACACTCGTCTGACGTGACATCGATCGAGGGGCAGAAAAGCGGGGCTTTCCCGCACCTCAAATTATCGTGAACTAAGCCTTCAGGCATGAGGATAAAGTTTCCTTTTGTGCATGAGAATATGAGTACTGTATTTCACGTTACATACATAATAAACGTTTGCTGCAATACTTTCGGGTGATTTTCGAACCAAACTATTTGGTCAGGATTCGTAGAACACTTCAGACTGCAGGCGAAATTGCTCTTTATAAATGTTCGACCTTCACTTTGTACCAGCTATGTGGCCACAAATAAGATGCTCTATCAAAAAATCATGATAATATGAGGGAAGGGCATTTCTAGTTTTCATTGAGTGAAGCAAAGTCCACTGAGACCCTATAAGTTTCTCCTGCAATAGCTTCCCTTGCATGCAGAACGTTATAAGGTAGCAGGCCATAACCTACTCTTCCGTTAAAGGACTCTTGGTTTTTTCTACAACACAGTCCTTTATACGAGTTTTTTTTTTGTTAACAAAAGCAGTTTTGTTCTAACCTGTCGTTTTTGTGTACTCGAAACTGTACTGCAATTGTGTCTCTTTCTTTTCATCCACGATTATTTCAAAGAACCTTCGACCAGTACATAGAATTTCCGATTCGAGTAGAATTGCCGGGTTTCGGTTCGTTGGATTGGAAGTGTTTTAACTTAACTGTGACACAACCTCATACCCCTTAAAACTCGTGCAAATAGTAGGATAATATACGAAGAAGAGCTTTTGAAATAGGCATGTTGTAGTCACGTTTCAGAGACACTACATGTGTGGAAATTGGATTCAGACAATTTTTGAAAGCTAGTTTGATGCTCAAGATCTCAAGATTTATCGAAAAATAAAAAGGAATAAGTAAGGATAATTCCCTTCTGGATGTGACTACTCTGGTACTACACTGCGTCTAATAATACTCACATTTCAGGGCTTTCCAAATGGATTCTCTGTATTCCCCATTCGAGACGTAACTTGTAGACCAACCGCAAATCTCATGATAAGAACAAGAAAATTTTTCCTTTTATTTGGTCAGAACGGTCACATTTCCTATGCTTCAAAATTACACAGCTATTGACCCACCTCATGTCATTCGCCAGATAAGTGATAACAAAGTGAAGAAGCTGCGTAATTAACAATTAGTTGGGCCTCTATTCCTTTGAATTACCTTAAAAATACGATGGTACAAGCTGAAGTAAGGGCTATCAATCAGTGCCTGATCAACCTGGTGCCAAGCGTCGACGATTGCTTTCTTCAGCTTTTGATGCCTCCAAATTGCTTGTTTCCTTCATATATCTTCCTTACCATGAATCCCCATACGTTTTTCATCGGATTCAAGTCAGGGCTGTTAGCTGGCCAGGGCAGAAGGTTGATTTTGTGAAGACTAAACCTGACCTGGGTTCTTCGGCTTATTTGAACCCGGGCATTACCCTCCATAAATACAAGGGTATGCTGTCCATTCTGACGCCAAAAATAAAGGAAATTACGGAGCATTACGACTCGATAATTGAAAGAGTTAAAGAAAACATAAATGGAGACGTTCACGAGGAGAGATTGCCGCCTTCACCATGCCTCCTCCTACCTTAAAATGCTGAAGCGTAACCTTTCTCAGATCGTGTCAGTAGGACCGGTCGCTATCTGACCCAACACAAAACGACGAGGCATGGAAGGCACCTTACTCCATTCGGTTTGCCTACAACTCCTAGCCAAGGCGACCTGACTCGAGATATTGAGCTTTAGAGGGGACTTGATTTTCGTATATTACTCACTCGTATTCGACTCTTCTCTCGAAATCCGTCGCTTTCCTTTTTTTCGAATATCCGTCTTCTGTCTCGTTCCGAAAATAACGAAGGACGTTTCGTACTTCGTTCGATCCCACACTTTGCAAGATACCGGACGAGAATGTCGACAACTGCGTGGCATCGACTCTCGAGCGATTCTACGATTTGACAGTCCATGTTCTTTTTTTATTTCAAGAATTTGACCACTTCCGAAATTTGATAACAAGTTTCCTCTACCCATTACCTGAGATCGAAAAAAATATTATAAATAAAGCACTCGTGTAAGGTAAAAATGGAATTCGATGGATAAATATGAGGAGGCTGTATCATTTTGAAACATAGGCGACCCTCTTTTAAAAAAAGGATGGAGAAAATGTTCACGTTTTCCGAGTGGGACTTGCTGTTGGTCTGCAAACTACGTTCCGAAAAGAACACACTTTTCACATCAAGTCTTTTCGTGCCCTGGAACGGGAGCTTCAGTGGGATTCATAGGCGGCCGTGTCATTATTTAACACAGTGTATAATTCGTTCTCACTCGGTTAGTGGTGCTTTCCTTTGCACGTATTTTGAAAAAGAGTGTCTGGCGGAAACACCGATCACTGCAGACCACCGTATGAATCATGTTCCGTCTCTCACGTTTTCCAACTTTCAAAGATTGTTTGTCTTTAAACACCTTTATCTGTCATGGCATGAAACAGTAAAAGTTCAAATAGCCCATTAGTTCGACAATGATGTTCAGGTGTTAGTTTATGTCGTTGTCGACAGAGTGCTGCCACAAAAACATGTTGATTATGTGCAGTCGATGATTATATAGTTGGTGATGGATAGGGGCGCGTGGGATTCAAATGATGATTTTGAACAAACATGAGATACACATATTGTAAACTACAAAGGTGATTACTGTAGTATACAAGTGCAGAAACAGTTTCAATGATAGTTAGCCAGTTGCAGCTTTTGTAGAGTTGATAAAATGTCGTGGATATGATCTAGATGTCCGGAACGTCCAAATCGAACTGGAATGAACTGAGTGAGATTCGGGTCATGATTTGCCCGCCATGGAATGTTACGAGCCAAGCATTCCACAAGCAAGAGGCGGGGTGAGTGATTGCGCTAATAATTATCGCTCGTAATGGGCTCTTTGAATAATTTAATTGGTTTTTTGGTTTTATCAGCTAACATCCAATAATATCAGCGCCTCCAAGAGATTAAGGCAATACGCGGAGCCTCTCAGCGTGTAATTTCACAAGAACTAAAACGTTATGGGCATGAGTCTCTGCTATTTTCATAAGAGTCGTATAATAATAAAAGTCGTATAATATTAAATGGTAAGCTTGAAAAACAACTTACCGAAAGGTTGCGGTGCACCATTGCGCTTGTCTTGTGCTGCCGCTGTAGCATAATCGTCATCAGTCGCCAGATATCTTTTGCCAAATCTGAGTAGAGTCAAGACGGCCGTGCGTGGTGAGTAAACGAAGTTCTTGTTTACCTGACTAACGCATTCCGCATACTTCCTCCGGCCCGGCCGAAGCGCACTAGAGCGTTGCGCATTGCGCGTTTCTCAAGGCTGAATTTCCAAATTTCACTAAGGTGGTGGATCGGCGAGCTATCAAGAAGTTGCAGCACATTGCTCACAAAGTTGGCTCTGATCATTATCCGGGTATGAATATTACCGTGGCCTTCAGTAAAGAAAGAATATTACGAGTTGTTCAGCTCGAACCATTACCTATTTGCGATCACAAGGTTACAAAAAATCAATTGGTAGATCAAAAACTAATGACCCTGAGTTCCAGAAGCCGACTACCTGCAACATTCGAGGTTAAGCACTGTTTCATGATTACTGACAAGTGCGATTGGCACGAAGATGTGTTAATTTGATGAAATTCGAATCAGAGAGGCAATTATTTGCCAATAGCTGCAGAATGAATGACTTACGCGAAATTATCTTGTGCCCGAAGTGAGGCGATGACCACCGCTACAATGCAGAGCTTTATCGTAGTGGACGATGTCATTGGTGTTATAAGCAAAATTAAGTCGACCCTTAAATATTGGAGGAATTGCCGCAGGTCATGTACCGCCGCAATATTACGTCGCAAAATAGCCGCGAGCATGAACATCTCCAGTAGTGAAAACCATATTGAATGCATTATTGAAGTGGCGTGATGGATTCTTCTAAATCAGTGAAACAGAGTTCCGGATGATTGCGAGCAGAAAGTTTTTAATGAGAAGCGATTAAAAGCTGAATGTCGAGGTAGCGCGGGGCAGAGAACGGCACCACGTCAGAGGACCGCATAAGTTCTGTTGGAAATATTTTACAAACAGTATATGATACTGAAGCAGATACTGTTGTGTCAGAGCGATGAGCAATCATCCAATGGGCAATCAACGGCGCTAAAGATCTCCTAAATGAAGGTAGTAATTGCTGAGACTGTATAATGTCAGCGGAGGTTACTAAGATTTCGCATCACCACTGAGCAAGCGCTGTCCTGAATATGCGAAATTCAGCTAGAATTAGCGCATCACCACTCAGGAAGCGCTTTCACCTTACACTAACGTCAACTTCTCCTACCCTCTGTTCCTCTTGGATTCTAAAAAGAGCAGGTATATCTAGGCTCCCGTCTTTGGAGCATCATTCACCACATGACTGTGGAGTATCATTTGCGTATGACCTTTCAAAATTCATGTGGTTTAAGGAAAAAAAAATGTTACGAGAGTAATTAAAATTAACAAAATTCCTTCCTCACTTGACTCCCTCTTTCGGATCTGAGCTTATGTTCAGTTTGAGGCTCATGGAAGTTACCCAAAAACGGGTAGTGGCACGGGTCATATCGCTTGAGGAAAAAAAACTTGTTGACATTTCTAAAGCAAAACTTCCTCTAAAAAAGGCATCCTGGCAGCGCCTGTCTTAGCAACAGGACTATCTCACAGGTTCGGTTGCGCCTACTGCGCTTGCGCTTATGTTGCAAGGATGTTCCACTGGGACTCGGAAGAAGGCAACATCTGCCATGAAATTAGTCCAACATGTCATATCCTGCGGACTCTGCCTTGCTAAGCTGGCCATTTGAAAGGTAACAAAGGGGACTAAAAAATAGGAAGTCATTTGAGACTCGAGGATGATTCAGATAGCTTCAAGAGACTCGAGGACAATCCAGATAGCTTCAAGAGTCGTGCTCAAAAACAGAACAGAGACACATTCCACCATTGAGGCACGTTTATGAATGAGCACAAAGACATATAGTACCAAACAAATAAGGATGATTCATAGTCGAAACTCCTGCGTAGAACTTTAGCACCTGAAGTGTAACAGATTTTTCGTCATCGCATCCCGTCGCTTCACTATAACTTTCATAAAAGTTCTCCAATCAAGTTAAAAATAAATTATGTGAGAGCTCTGCTTTTGAAGAATCCAGACATATATTGAATTTTCAATTTTCCCGAAACTTTCGTCTTCATTTACAGAAAAAATGAAAATTGAGTCTCGCAGTACCTGGGGTGTTACTTGCGGATATAATAGTAGAATCGTAAGCCCTTCATTTCAATCGGAAACTTTGTTTTAAGTGTTCAAAAAATATATACGACACTATATTCAAGGAGAGCATTGAGTTAGCTGGAAACAGTGGCTCGAATGGCCAGTTTTTCAGATATTCGCTACTTATTATCAGATAGATTGGAAAAAAGGAGAGCACTCAAACAGGACCCTAACGCCAACCACCTGGAAAAGGTAATCGTGAACAAAGCCTGCCGTATGGCTGTCATGGAAACTCTGGGAGTATAGGAGAACCAAACTACTCGAAGCAGTTGAAGCGAGATTCAGCATCAAGCGCTGCAAATGAGATCTCAATGATCAGAAAGCTGTGATGTCGGCTATCTTGGACAAAGATGGAAGCGTAAAAACGTCTAGGTCTGAATGCTTGATGCCGCCTAATGAAAAGCCTCCCGCTATCCTAAAATCGGAAGTGGCAAACGCGATAAGAAGCATGAAGAAAGAAACAGCTCCAGGTTTGGGCAATGTCCCTGCGGATTTGCTCCGTACTAGAAGAACCGCTCTTCACACCCTTCTTGCAGAACATTTTAACCACTACCTCAAACTGAAAAGGATTCCGGAGCAGCGGAAAGAGTTGAAGACCATTCCCCTTTTCAAAAAAGGTCAGCGGGAGGACATCTCCAACTACCGTCCCATCAGCTTAGTGGTATACAAATAGTTCACGAAAATTCTGCTCAATCGCATGGAACGCATTTTGGACGAATACCAGCCAATAGAGCAGACCGGATTTAGGAAAAGTGCATGGACGACATCCAAGCAATCACTCAGCTCAATGAAAGAAGCCGAGAGTATCGCCTTCCACTGGCTCTTCTTTTAGTGAATTACGAGAAAGCATTCGACTCTGTGGAGATCAACGCCGTTTTAAACGCTCTTGCGCAAGCTGGAGTTGATTCCGCCTACGTCCATCTGCTCAAACAGTGCCTTTCAAAGACATCAACATCCATCCAGCTGTTCGAGCGAAAGCTGGATTCCAGTTGGAATGGGGGTGCGACGAGGAGATGCGATATCTCCAAAGCTTTTCACGGCTGCGTTACAGTATGCGATGTTGAACCTCGACTGAGAAGAATGGGATATCCCGTCAATGGCAAAAACGTCAATAACCTCCGCTTTGCCGATGATATCGTTTTGATATCTAGCAGCACTGCTGGGATGGAAAAGATGGTCAACGAACTAATCGCGGTAAGCCGGCGGATAGGCTTGGAGATGAATATGTCCCCGACGCAATTAATGTGTTAACCAGTGGTGCGATACAGGAACAGTAAGATTAGAGGGAAAAGCTCTGCAAAGAGTTGAATCCTACGTGTATCTGAGAAGAGAGCTGAACATGATGAACGATATCACTCCGGAACTAAACCGGAGAAGACGGGCTGCAAGGGCAGCTCTTAGTTCAAGCCGTGAGTGACAGACCAGGTCAGCGATCCCGACCTCAAGTCATAGATATTCAACGCCTCAGTACGGCCAGCGATGTGTTATGCGACTGAAACATTGCCTGACAACAAAACAATCGCCAAAGCCATAAGAACTTCTCATCACGCGTTGGAAAGAAGTTCTCTGAAAATCAGTCGACGTCAACAGTGGCAGTATGCCTTGTGAAGTCCAGACCTAACGAGAGATCGCGTTTGAAAAATCAGCTTCAAACATGGCACATTCGAAGCACCGCTGGGCCGGTCATCTACATCGTCGAACAACTGAGAGATGGAGTCTCCGAATCACAGAGTGGCTTTTGAGGAATAAAACAAGACCATCAGGACGTCCGCCGTCTCGGTGGGCCGATTCGTTTTTAAAAAATTTTAGAGCAAAAGGTCTACATTGGATGCAAGTCGCGGAAGATCGGGCGGTATGGAGGAGCTGTGGTCCCCGCTGAGAAGAGGGTCTTGCCGATGGACCATCAAAGTAACAAAGTATCAAAAAAAGTAAGTACGCCACCGATTCGACTTTTTCATCCAAATTCGCTAGCGTTGGAAAGCGAAGAGCTGCCGAAAAACGAAAATTGAATGCGGATGAAAATACTGTGAAATAGCAATTGTTCCCCTGAAATCGACCTGAACGAGTGTGAAATACCAGGATACGCCACACATTCGACTTCTTCC